TCATCAGAGAATCAGAGGACAGCACAGTCTATCAATTGTGGTTCTCAGCTGGTTACTTAGGATCATAGAGAAGGCATTATGTATAAATAAGAGCATGATATAATTTCCAAAACAAATTATAACCTAGGAGGAGATATAAATTATATATATAAAACTTAACTAATTTGAGAAGTATCTTTGTTTTTACTGTACTGTTGAATTGAGTCTCTGAGGAGTCTCATTTATACCTACAGCACAGGAGAAGAGTGTGGTGGATTGTAAACTTATTTGTATAGTCACTTGGCTGCTCACCCAAGCAGGCAGAAACTGGGAAATAAACCTGAGTTAGAGTTGCAGCAGCTGATGGAAAAGGGGGAAAGTTTGAACATGAAGGCCTGCCTTCTTCTGCCAACACATTCAATGGCATGAAGTGTCATCTGTCTCACTCTGTGAGATACTTTGAGGCTCAGCAATTGCCTTCTTAGCTGGCTCACCAGTGCTTCTGAATCAAGAGGGTGAGGGGGGATTCTCGGAAAATTTTTTTTTTCTTATCTCACTTTCTCAAAATCAAATAGTTTTCAATGAGAATTCTTGATTTTCAGTTATGCAATGGAAAATACATCTTTTCTTAGGATAGCAGACCCTTCGGCTGTAACACTTCACCAAAAATGTAATTTGCATTTTGCAGAGGCCAATTATTTTACTTGGTTATTTGTGAGCCATTCTCTTGTCAGTTCATTTATCTGCCGTTTGTGATGTAGGAAAGTTGTACTGACTGGAATTCTTTTTCTGGTTCATTCAATCCAAAAAACAGACAGACAATTGATAGTGATGAATAAAAACATTGTTTTCACATTTTGCAGACTTTGTTCACAATCTAGAGGTAGTTTGTGCTTATTCCTATTTTTAATCTTTTGTATAATAATTAAATATCTTCGAACAAAGTAAGTTGATGGGTAAATCCACCCTACAGACCAAGTACAGCACAGTGAAGGCGCCTCTTCAGCTAATGGTAAAACAGCTAGCACCAAAATCAGGTATAGAGGTAGGAGTCATTCACAGCTACAAGAATCAGGGTAAAACATCCCTGAGCAAAAATTCTCTGATGGATGAGCCTCTGTGTTGTACTGCTTTTCACACATTCCTCATCTTCTTCCTTCATATTCAACACTGGAGTCAGCTGTTGAAATAAGGTCTTAGGGAGCACAAGCACAATTATTCAGAGGCCATAATTGTTAAGAAAAAAAGCCAGAAGAAAATTACAAATTAAAGTAGAATGATTGTCTGGTTCACCATGACTTCCATTTTCTAATCATCCTAAATTATTTTAATGCATGTTTTCAAGCTCAAAATTAGCAAAGGTCCCATGATGTAATTCTCCTAACACCCATTGAATACTACATTATGCCAGTCCAATTTCATTTCAGTCTTTGGCAGCAGCATCTGTCACTGAGGGCACACATATGGGGGTTTAGAGACCTCCCACCTGTTCTGTTGCTAGATAGTACTTTTAATACATGAAGTTTAGAAATCATTGTGAAGTTAAAACAAGTTTCTTACTTGTAAAGGCCTAGGAATATAAGATTTAAAAAATAACTCTTAAAACATGTTTGTCTTTGAACTATCTTAAATTAATAATCAAAAGCTTGCATCAAGTCTAAAACAAATCAAACTCAGTCGTGAAGATGAGAAACAGGAATTATTAACTGAGTAGTGAGGCTGATGGAGGCTCAATGAGATCATTTTGTTCAAAGATTAAAGGCGATGAACACTGAAATAGTTGAGGAGGATGGCTATGAACACATCTGACTAGAGCTGCTAAATTCAGTAATGATCAAAAGTTAATTATCAAAGCAGAGAGAACTGCTCAACACAGACAATTTGAGTCAATAGCTAAGCAGCCAAGAAAAGAAGTAATTTGGAAGAAGTATTTTCCTATAATGAAGTTATATAAAAGACGTACATTTCAAAGAAACCTGCCTAAAACAAGATTGCATTCTTCCTGATCAGAGAAAAATAATTAGCTCTAATTGACAGACCTGCTGCACACCAAATATTTTCAAACAATATGTTTCTGCATCAAAGCTTAATGTGTAGAGTTACTCAATGTCACTTTGATTTTGCCTTCCTTTATCTTCTGCCACTGGGCATGCTCATGATATCGCAACAAATATGCTTTGAAAAATGAATGAGCAACACCTACAAGACAAATAAAAACAGAAGGACAGATCCTGCATTTCTTTCTCAGATGGAATCCCAGGGTATTTTGTTCTGTGTTTAACATCACCGTGATCCCACTCAAAGCAAATCCTTTGTAATAGGAGAGGACCAGTTAGGAGAGGACCAGTTGTCTGATGATCCAGCATTAAACTGGGCTGGCATGTAGATTAACCCAAGCACTTGCAATGGTTTTTCAGTTTGGTGTAAGCAAGCATGTGTGTGAAGGACACTGTACCTTCAGCATTTGCCTTTTCTTAAGAGTTAGGAAAGTGGGATTTTCTGGTAACAAAGGGAAAAAAAAAGTAGAAATTCTCCTTATAAAAATCTAGGGAAAGACATGTGCTAAAATGTTCACAGTCCAAGAAAACAAAATGTATCTATAGTTCTTTCTTCTTGAAACTGCAACCTTTCTTTCAGGGTAAATGGTTGTGATAGACACAGCTAAGTGGTCAAAAATCAAACATGCAGTTTAGACTCTGCTCTTTAATATTCTGTGACTTTGACATTGCCAGTTCTCACTCTCTGAAATATCTTCATCTTCTTTAATCTTTCATGTAAACAGTTTAGCTCACACCATCATGCCATGTGCTCTCCGGAATATATTCTGCTGTACTTTGTATTAAATCAACTGCATTAACATTGTTTACTTGTGATCGTAGACACTCTCCTCTCTGCTATTTCCTCTTCTTTATCTGTATTTTGATACCTGTTTTTCTGTAGTGATTTTTTGAATAATTCAGGGAAAAACCTTGATTTAGATGCAAGTTTCACATGCTTGAACTCAGAATTGTTAAGGTCTAGCTATTCTGACATTGTGGAAGAATGTTTTTGAGCTTTAAAAATAATTTTAGTTTCCTGCAGGATGGGACTGATACTTGGCTTTTAGTGGGAAGTTTGGGAAACTGAAATGCCTTTTTTGATGGTGTTTCAGTTCATTTTACATGAATTATTTGTGTGTTGTTATGTGTAGTTTATTACTTAGTAGGTTTCTTAATAGCATGCTTCTGACTCTGCATTTGCAGAGATCTATTGGAAAGAGACACAATCACATTATCTCACTGTTGAGGCAGAGACCCCATTTCATCATAAGCTTGTTTGAGAAGGCATAATTAGGCTTGGGTTTTTCTCAATTACTTCTGCAATCTGAAGTTGAGCATTTCCTGAGGTTTAAGTGTTTTATTTAGCACCCCTACTGTACAATTAATGTAATTGATTCCTATCATGCATTCATTGATTTATTTGTTAGATGGAAAATATAATCCAAATGAAACAAACACATTTTTCTTTGCAAGCTGGGAGCCAACCCAGAGGACTGCTGTTGCACCATCCAAACTCTCACAAGCTCTCATTTTTCTCCCAAATTTTACTCATTACTAGGGATTTTCATGGATTTAAATGCAGATATTACCTTTGCTATGATGAGAGGCAAAAGTGCCAAAACAGAAGTATTTTGAAAAATTAGCCCCATCGTAGAGCTCAAGGGATAATTCCTTCTGGCAAAATTTGGAACCAGTTGTGCAGATCCCAGAGGTTTCAGAAGTTCATAATTTTACATAAAGGATTTAATTTGTCAAGGGCTTATATGAGCATTTTTCTGAACCACTAATATTCACACTTCCTGTGTAGGAACCATTTTGTTTCCATCCCTAAGTATAGCAGAGGTTAAAGTTCCTCACCATAACCCTTCTCCTAAATGTCGGCAGGCTTTGTAAAAATACCTCTGGAGGTAATTAGGCACTAAAACTTTCCTTTCTATAATGGGTTTATGGATCAGTTGTCTTAATTCTGCCTTTCGCTACTCTCTGTGCTTGTAATCTCACCAACCATCTGACCACTTTCCACATTTAAATCTATTACAGCCTTGTTCTGCAAACACCAGGAGGAATTCTCTGAAATTATACAACACTAGCTTTTTCTGCCAGTGGTATTTCCAGCCCTCTTCCTTTAAAATGTTATTTACCTATTCCAGACAAAACAAGAGTGGGATGCAAGGTCGGTTCAGATTACATAATTATGCCAGAGGAGCATTAAAGGGAAAAGTCTCCTGTAACATCTCGGTGGCTTAAGCGGCGCGATAGACTGGCGCGGCGCTGCCATCGGCGCCCCCAGCTGTGTTGCTTAGCAACATTTTAATTCAAGAAGAATCGAAGGAGATGAAATCCCCGTGGAGAGGGAAACAGAAATAAGAGGGCCGTTGACAGATGATCTGAGTTGTTTCTTCTAATATACTGTGAAGATCACTGGCTCTTTTCATGAATGATAAATGGACTGTACACAGATCAATGGGTTCAGCAATAAACTGGAACCAGGCTCCATGTCTGAGGTGGTGCAGGCCGAGGGGCCCAAAGATTTACTCATTTAGATGATTTGGAGTGTGTTTTCTCAAAGGTTTCACAAGAGGAAATTGATCTGAACATTTGGTCATCTCTTGCCCTTTTCTGTTGCTGGTGAATAAAAACAGTTTTGGAAATGTAATCCGTTCTTCCCTCTATTTCTTCCTGTTGTTGTTCGTGCTCCTGATAGGGACAGATAGCTTGTGACAAAGGGGCCAGACCTCAGAGTGAGAAATGAAGTAACAGCCCTGAATGAGCGGTTGCTGAAGACTGGTGGCCATTAAAAATAAACAAACCCCACTGATATCACAAAGTAGGGCAGGAGCATTTCAGACTCAGCACTATCTCTCTGAATGGTCCCACAGCCTGGGATATTGCTGCTGAAGAGCTCCCATGAGCTGGTGTTTGCTTGCTTTGGTGTGGCTCTTGCTTAATGATTTGTTTCTCCCACCCCTCTTGTGTTTACAGGCTGCCGAAAAGACAAAATTGAGAAACATTCCTGTAAAGTAAGTTATTTTTTTATATCCCTTCAAAAATGCGAGTTTAATGGCATCGTTGTATACAGTGACTAAAAAGACAGTAAGAGGGGTGATGAAGGAGATAATAGAATTCATGTTGTCCCTAATCATAGTAGTAAAAAGGTCAGTATCACTGAGGAAAGCTTTCGATTTCTTATGTGTCCCTAATGATTGCACTCCTCAAGTTTCATCCAGTTTCCATAAATTAATGTGTTGTCTATGAATAGCTGCCAAATAATCACAATCATACTCAATACATAGTGCTTCTAGCCTTGGGGAGGTTTGTACATGCTAAAAAGATTATGATTTTTAATTGCAATCCTCGAGAAGGTCTGATGGGGGAAATAACTAGGAATGTGCCAAATAATTTCTGGGCACATGGGAATCTTTTGCACCTATGTATCAAGGCTTTGCTATCCTGTTGATTAAGAGCTCTTTCTCCCTCTGTGCATGTGCCTCTCTTACACCATACACACATGCATGTTTCTGCTCTTTGCACAGGGCTTTGTGAAGGATGAGCAAGCTACCAGGGAGCAATTTCAAGGGCATTTTATGATAAGTTCTTAAATCTTCAGGCACTAGCAGCAACACTCTACCATATATCATTGAATTAAGAAAGTTGCTGTATAGATGTCCTGGCTCTTTGAGAAAAGGCATTTTCAGTTAAAGCTAACAACATCAGTTATTCTGTTTAAATAATGAATATTCCAGTCCTAATGGGCTCTTATGTACCAATAAAAACACATATTTAAACTTCAGTATGTTATCATAGCAGTTTAACTATGTCCCAGTAACTGAATAGTCCTGTTACTGACATAGTTCTTATTTTTTTAGTAGTTTGCTGATAATGCTGACTTTGAGACTGGAGAGGGTTTGTGTTTGTAAGAACATGCACTGACAGGACTCCCCAGTCACTGTGTTCTAGCACATAGCAGAAGAGTACAGTTCTATTTGTCACTTGGATTCCATCATGTGTAGTCATTTACACCTTATAAAGTGAACACAGAATGTGTATGAACACTCCTTGGAGTGATTAGGCGATATGTCGGATGACCATAAATCACTCTCTCTCTATGTTTCATTCAGTCTGATAAAAATTAGAAATAGGATCCAGCAAGGACCTGATAGCATGTGAAACTTGTAATAAGACAAGGGACCTTTTTTGCCTATAGGGCTAGTTCAAATTCAGTGCAAGCTGAATTAAAGTCATTGCTAGCTGGGGTTGTTTAATAGAGAGTGAAATGAGCTAAGTTTTCACTTCACATTATACAGGGTCCAGGAGTTGGAAGGTGATGAAATTCCTGTGGACCAGCTCCAAAATAATAATTTATCATTCAGTTCATACACTTTATTATATTTTTGAGTCAAATTCTCAAGAACAACTCAACTGAATTTTATCTTCCCACTTATAACAGAGGCATTAAGCACTGCAGTTATTAAACAGTATGTATGTGCCACTGATGCCAAATTAATCCACCAGAAAGATTTGGGATTTGGGAGGAATGGGTGATTTAGGTTAAGTTATATTTGATAGGACTTGATTAAGGGTAGCATTTTGAGATGGAAGGCCATATGGACAGACTCACTCTTTCCACTTACATGTGTGTATTCCACCCTGTCATGTTTCCCCCAACTGGTTGTTTAACTTCTCATTGACTATGTTCATGGTGGCAGCTTCAATTAGTACCTTAGGGAGATCCATTATACACATTAATTACACTATGCATAACAAAACAGCTGAAAAATCTGCCTAGTTTTGTTCAGTGACGTGTAACTATTTAAGGTACCTGTGTGCAGTTATGATTGTATGCTAAAGCTTTCCAGGCAAAAGAAAGAATATTGTCTTTAAAATAGCAGTAGTAACCATGGACTGCATTTATGTAAGTGTCAGAGCACACTTAGTACAGCTCAGGCTTGGCCAGATTTCAGTTGCTGCTTTTGTAGCTCTCAAATGTCAAGGAGAATTTAACTTGAATTTTAATGTTCTTCAGTTATGCAAAATAAAGTTAGTAGCTTCCATTGTCATAAGGGCTGAAAGCTGTACAGATTCCTTCTACCATATGTGACTTATCACATACATTTTTAAAAACACATTTTATTATTAAGACATATGTGATAGTACACTTCTGCAAATGTGAATTGCTTTTGGCTAAAAGCCATGCACTAATAAGTAGAGTTGAATCTAACTGCTTTTGACATCTGCTATAATATATTTTTTTACATATATAAATATATATATAAAATATTCGCAGTTGTCATTAGCATAAAAAATTTCCTTGTTTTTACCTTATGCTGACATACTTCTTGTGTTCCAAAACTAAAGCAAAAATCACTTCCTTTTGAAGACTGTAGGTTATATAAAGTCCTTGGACAGTGCCAATAGTGCCACCATTTAATGTATTAGTTTAGGAGCACGATGAAGATTTCTATAGAAATGGTCTATTTACTTTTCATTGCTCAGTTCATTAACGTTGCTGGTGTAATATTTGGTAGGAATTTTACTGCTCTTTTATGTTCTCTGGAATCCCTACAGCATTAAATAAGGCGGAAATACAAGGAAAGGGGGAAAAACAAGGAAGTTTTCTTTTTGCAGTTCAGTAAGGCAGCCAAGCAGCTGTTTTTTCAATGTCCAGGGGTATGTTGGTGCTCAGACTATCTTGTGGGAACTTCCTGATGGCCCAAAAAGGTGCAGTGGCACTTGGCTGCTTCAGAAAGAAGGCTTGGCTTCAATTCCATGGTGTTTGTAGTACTGGAAGGCACAAGGCATCCTCAGAACTCATCTTTATGTATTGGTGGCATTATCTTACATAATATTACTATAAATAAGAACTCAGAAAATAGCTAAGAAATTTCTGTATCTACAGAACTGATTTTCTTTTTTTCCAAAAGCATAAATCCCTTTTCTGAGGGTCTATGACACCAAGGTGGGCCCATGACTGCTGAATCCATTACATTAACTGATTTATGCTCTCCTGGCCTTCCTATGTAAGGAGCACTTGCTTTCTTCCTTTGGTTTTGTCCATGTTTACACTGAGAGTCTGTAGTACAAAAGAAATTTCCTAGATGTAAAGTCCTACATGCTTATTTACTTGCTGGTCCTTATCAAGCTGTTCCTATTCCTGCATCCAAAAGAGGTAATATGACTTAAACAATTTCACTCTGTGGAGGGTTTCTGATTTCTAAAGATCTGTTACATAAGAGATGGTTTTGAATTAGGGCAGATCTAGAGGAATTAATCTTTTATATACCCTGTTATTTGATGCAAGAGGGGGAAAACAGTGATATCATTAACAGTGATATCCTTAAAACTCCACAATAGCTTTGTTGTAAAACCCAGATTTCTTTCTGAATTTGTGTAGACAATGGGAGCTCAGATCAACATAAAATTTAGAGGAATCATGTTCATGTTGACTTGATCACATCATTTGTCCTGAGGTGGGCTGAGCTGCAGGATCCCCCCATATCCAGGGCAGTCCCCACTCTCAAGTACAAATGCACTTGGCTTGGCAGCCTCTACACTAACTTGGACTGGAGGCCAACCAGCCCAGTGCTTTATCTCTGCCAGCAGCAGAAGGTGGGGGACAAAGAACAGCAATTACAGAGACCTGTTCCATGAGGAGTATCCTCCCACCTTCCTGCACACAGCATTTTGCACTTCCAGAAGGACACATCCTGTATTTAGGAGGCACGAATGGACTTACTTTCCAAGCAAAGTCTTTCATGAAGTCAGTTTATACCTCCTGTCACCACAACATTGTGTGACATTGAGCCCCACAGTGTGGGGAGAAACATTTTTTTTTTTATTTAAGCCCTTTTCCTCATAGTTTCACTGGAATCCACTCAAGTAGTTATTCTTTCAGAAAAGAGAAAATGACTAGTCACTGTTTTTCAGTCCTGATATTACATCCCTCTGTTGTATAGACCAAGGAGTCTTCCTAGTCCAGATGCACTAATAATGTGGATTAGTCCACCAGTGAACTGTACAGACACAAGGCAAGTCTCTCTGCAATCAGAAAGGAAGTCTCTGTGTCTGCTGTGTTGGGCAGAGACAGTGTTAGGAAGATAAACAGGTTCTTTTCAGGTTTTCCATACAAAGAGTTGAGTTATTTTTATGGCAATGCCCTTCTGACTATGGACTGGGTATAATGCCACTCTAAACAAATGTCTCAGATGACAGTCATTTGTGAAAATGGCCAGGTGGATTCCTTGGGAAAATGTGGGCAGGTGAAAGAATGATTTGGCTAAAACTTGATGTCATCCAACACTATGAAATGCCAGGGTTTTGTAAGAAAGAAATTAGAATTTTTAAATGGAAAATGAAAGCTCTTAAGAGTGTAGTCATGTAGTCCATGAAATTCTGTAGAACTGTGAAAATATTGGAAGCAACTTCTTGCTTCAGGGAAGAAAACATTGCCTGCCTTGAGTGTCCTTTATACTCCCTTCTTTTATAGTCCCTTTTAAAATCTTCAGTAGAAAGTAATGGCATTTTCCCCAAACACCTGCATATGCTTAAATTTGCTGTAGTTTTAATGACTTCCAGATACATGTTTTGAGACTGTAGCTTGTGTTAAAATCCCACTGCAAAATATATTTGTTTTCCATCAGCCACAAGTTTGTTAACCAGCAAGATTTTTGGTGTTTATTGTCTTTTCCTGCCATAAAATTCATCTTCTCCTCTGAACAGCATCTGACTTAACTTGGTATGGTTTTCTGTCCCAACCATCATTGGAAATGCAATCCATTAACATTTGATATCTTGACATTTCAATTGACCTCTCATTTGCAAAGCGCAGTGGTATTTTTCGTGGCCTTTTCATCCTTGATTATACATGGGATAGGAGTGCCTGTTTCTCCTGACTGCACTTTAAAAATATCTTTGTTTTACCAGCTGGAGTGGCACCTTGTTTTTGCCTCCCTGGCTAGACCTTATTCTGCATGGAAGGTCTGAGGTCTAAGCAAGTCATGCAGAGCCAAAGGATTTTCTTATT